GGTCGCGCTCCTCTACAGGACCCTTGCGCTGCCATGAGCACGTGTCGCGTTCCCTGTCAGGTCTCGGCTCGGCAATGGTACGTTAGTGGCGCAACGAGCTGGAAGTCAGTCGCAGCTGAACTCGGCACTCGAAGTGGCACGTACTTTTTTGCCAAATTTGTTTGCTCCACATTTTCTTTGTAGCGTGCTGGTTCGCATGGACAAGTTCGAGTGCAGCGAACTAGCAGCTCCGACCTTGGCGCTGGCAAAGCGCCGTCAGGAATGGAGAGGGCGACGCGTAGTCCGACCGCCTTCACAGCCGCCCTGGGGTCGTCGTCTCCTGCACCTCGGGAGGGGCCCGCGAACTTGGCCGGGGAGCTGCAGTGGGCCCGCCAGCCCGCGGCCGCATCGGCAAGGGGATCCCGTGCATGCACCAGCCAGGCCGCGTGCGCAGCGACCTTGGCCGCTCGACTGCTCCCGCGCGTAGATGACGGCTGCCTCTCGGGCTCTGTGCCCTGCCGTCCTCTCGCGCCGCTCAACGTCCCCATGGGGCCGCGGCGCCGCCGACCGACTGCGCCAGCCCGCTACCCGATCGGCAGCATGCGCGACGCAGAGAGGGAAGCCGCCATTCTCGGAGGTCCTCGCGCGGAAGCAGTTGGAACGGGCGCGCTTCCTTTGAGCTGCTTGGGCTTCGTAAGACTGGGCGTGGAACGGGCGGGCCCCGAACGATGGAGTGCCATTCACCTCCGGAGACCCGCGCGCGTCGGAGATGGCGGCGTCCTCGACCAGCATCAGCACGGGCCCCTTTCTCGCTGAGTCTCGACAACCCTTGGCACGCAGCGCCTGCGCGCACCTGGCGGTCCTGAACGCAATCCTGTCGGCATCGCGCACGTCCACGCTCGGCTCCGACTCTGTCTCAGAGTTGGGGTTCCATCTCCGAGACGCGCGGCGTCCATCTCCGAGACGCGCAGCACCCGCGTGCTCTCCTAGCGAGCCAGGACGCTCCCTGACACGTTCAAGAGCAGCATACACCGCTCCCTGCCCTGGCCCGCCCTGCCGGCGTGAGCTCGGCCAAGTCCGACACGTTGATCGAGGAGGTGCGGCCGACGATGCACGACGCGCCCACGTGGACCATGGGCCTGTCCCCCGGTGGCAACGCGCATGGCGTCGCCAAGCACAAATGCACCAGGCCGGTTCCCTCGTCGTCGCGCGTAGCCTCCAGGTCAGCCTCGAGGTGCCGGTGCGAGCTGCCCTTGACCTCCTTGAAGCGATGGGCGTACCCGTGGCGGGCGATGCGGCTGCCCTTCGTGGGCCCCTGCTCCAGCCTCGCCACCGCCCTGCCCGACTTGATGATGAGGTCGTTCGGCGTCATGTTCTCAGAGCTGCCTCCCCTCGCCCTCGCTTCGTCCTTGGCGTAGTCTGCGCCGACGGCTTCAGGTTCGTCTGGCCCGCGCCAGGCCAGGGCAGCGCGCGGCTCACCGTTCAGGGCGACTTGCACGCGGTGGCCCGTCTTGCTGCCTTTGATGAAGCCGCGCGCAGTCACGGAGACGAGCGAGCAGTACACCCACGCCGTGCGCAGGACCCAGGAGACAAGGGCGATCACTCCTGCTGCAGCTACGCCCAAGGAGAGCCATTGGAGCCGTGCCCAGCAGCGGCCACGCATGTTTTCCCCCATAGCGCTCACCATGCCCATGAGGAAAGCGATCACCTGGTGGAGCATAGCGCACAGCGCGTGTCCGACCTTCTTTCCCAGCCACTTGAGCGCCGCCTCGAACCGCGCGCTGTCTACTGCAAGCCCGCCAGGATCGGCGCTAACCTTCTCTGGAACGGCTTCGGGGGGGCGATCTGGAAAGGGGGGCGCGTCCTCCTCGGCCACGCTCTCGCCTCCTCCAGCCGGCGGTTTCCCCGGCGGCGGCGGCGGCGCCTGCGCCCGCTGCGAGCGAACGGCGTTGCCCGCCGACCGGGGCGCCGCCACAGCTGGACGCCGCTGCGGGGCGGGCGACTGCTGCTCGCCCGCCCGAGGTCGCCCCGAGTCTCTCGGCATCGCCCTCTCCTCTGGCAGCAGTCTGGGCACAGCTGGCGCCACGGGCTGCGTCTCCAGGGGCAGGCTCAGCACCACCCCGTCCTCGTAGTAGCGTACGAAGTAGTAGTGCTCCTCGCGGCTGGTGGCGCGCTCGCCCGAACTGGCCATGGCTGGCGGCGGGCTCGTATTCGAGGGCGCCTCAAGCTGTGGCGCCGCCGCCTCCTCCGCCTGCTTCGCCTCCGCGGGCAGCACGGGGTCGGCTGGCTGGCCTACCTCAGCCTCTTCTGCGCAGCTGCTCGCCGCGCCTGGCTCCTCCCGCGCGTGGCCCTCGCTCGGTCCCGGCGCATAGCTGGCAGAAGCCGAGAAGGCAGCCGACAGCCCCTACGCCCTACGCCCAGGGAAGCATCTAGCCACCCGGGCGTGGCCACCAGCGCGGTGGAGATCACGCACTCCAGAGAGACGTACCGCATCACACGCACCTCCCTACTGCCACTGCCCCTTCAGGCCGCGGGCGCCTGGAAACGTCCGCCGCGGGCCGCGGGGCTCCCCTCCGGATCCCCCGCCCGCACTGGAAGGGGGACCTGGCCCAGCCACTACCCAGCACTCCTCAGACTGCTTGGCTGCGCTCCCGGCTGGGCCAGCGAGCTATGGCCCCGCCCGCCCAACCCAAAAAGAGAACTGGCCTCGTTGGAGGCCTTGAGCAGAGAGTACGGAGAAAGGATGGGCGACGAGCAGAGGGGAGGCTGCGAGAGGTGGGGAAACATGCTGTTCTAACGGACGTCAAACCCCGTGTTGCTCGAGATCGCCGCTGTTCCATCTGTCTCTGCGTTGGCTTTTCTTCCGACCTGCACTTGCACAAGATAGGAAGCGCTAGAACCACAGTGCGAGGGTACACTCCAATCCGAGAATCGCGCATTGCGCTCCGAGGCCTAAGCCAGAGCGACCTCGTGGGAACGAACGGATTCAGGAACTCCCATGTGAATCGAAAACCGACCAGTGAATATCAGCCCCACGGCGCTTCAAGGCACGACCAGAACCACCTGATGGAGCGTCTAGATAAACACCCACCCGGTGGAATCGCAATACCACGGTCACTTGCATCATCCCCATGAACTATCTCCACCGCGGCCACTGGCATCAGGTTTCGGCCGTTCCACTCGCTTTAAGGACGTGGCCCGCTGTTGGACAACTAGTCGCTTTCTGGAAGCACGGGTTACCGCAAGCTGCCCCAGCCTCCAGCCAGTACTTCGCTGATGACCGCCTCATCCCTAAAGATGGGCTTAGGTACCCTGCACACCTATGGCCTATAGCGCAATTTGTGTAGCACGGCCCCTCGGGCATGGCCGAAAAGTTCCAAAACGTTCCCCCTCATCCTCCCCCTCCTCCGCCTCCTCCTCCTCCTCCTCCTCGTCCTCCTCCTCCTCCTGCTCCTTCTCCTCCTCCTCCTCCTCCTCCTCCTCCTCCTCCTCCTCCTCCTCTCCTCCTCCTCCTCCTCCTCCTCCTCCTCCTCCTCCTCCTCGCCCTCCCCCCTCCTCCACCTCCTCCTCCTCCCCCTCCTCCTCCTCCTCCTCCTCCTCCTCTTCCTCCTCTTCCTCCTCTTCCTCCTCTTCCTCTCCTCCTCCTCCTCCTCCTCCTCCTCCTCCTCCTCCTCCTCCTCCTCCTCCTCTCCTCCTCCTCCTCCTCCTCCCCCCCCCCCCTCCCCCTCCTCTTCCCCCTCCTCCTCCTCCTCCTCCTCCTCTTCCTCCTCCTCCTCCTCCTCCTCCTTCCTCCTCCTCCCCTGAGAGGGCCAACAGGCGCCCGTGTCCCGAAGGGGCCGTGCCGCCAGAGAACCTGGGCGGCGCTCATCAGGAGGCAGCCCCTGGGAGGCCTCTGTTGGCAAGATCAAGGGTTTCTCTTTTGGGAAGGGAACAGAGAGCAGCCACGAAGCTCCGACCAAGACGACGCCAGGACGAGGATAACACCGGACGAGGAGAAGTCGAACATCTCTGAGATCTGGCGGCTCTGGAGGATGTCTCGGGGGCCGCGGCCATCTCGGAACGTTCTGGAGCGCTCTGAGAGCGCTCCGGAACGCTCTGGAACGGATGTATCCTCGTCCTGGCCTCGTCCGAAGTTTGTCTTTTGGGAGGAGAGCGGAGAACAGCCACAAAGCTCCAACCGCCACGACTGTGGTGTTGCTTGCTGCCGGCGCCGGCCCTGGCGGACAAAGCTTGCCCCCGAGCTAATCAGAAACCCACCAGAAGAACCGCCTGTGACAATTAGTTCCCAAGCAAGTTGCCAAACAATAGGGAATCAGGAGCTTTTGAACAAGATCAATCAGAAAGCAAGATGGACTTGGGAGCTGCTCAGCCGGAGGAAGCCAGCGCAGGCTGGACCCAGGCGGATACAAGCAGATGAGGCGCCTGAGTCTGAGCCAATTCAGCTGGATAAGCACGCTGGCCCGATCAGCATCAATGAATGGCCAGGGCCAGGGACGAAGAAGTGGCGCATGCGTGCTCGAGACATCCTGCGTCAAGCTCTGGCTGATGCAGTCTTCCGTGGTGACGGGGAGTCATGCCGTCGGGGCGCCGTGCCGCAGCCTCTGCTTGGGATAGTAGATGCCCCGATACACAACACGCAACACGTAGTGTATTGATACGAAGCTCAACACGTAGACTGAACACGTACGATTTGAACACGGACGTTTTGAACACGGCACGCGTGACGTTTCAAAACGTGCGTATCAGAGCAGCTGAGCTTGAGATGTCCCAGGCCGAGCTTGAACGGAATCCTTCGTGACCACAGCCAGAGGGGCACTCCTGCTCCAGTGGAGCGGGCCCTAGAGCGCTCAAGCCACTGCAATGAATCAAATGGGCATCCTCTGGAGGTTGTGAAGACTAGATTCTACCGGCTCCAGTAGAGCCACTTCTGCAACAACTCCTGATCCACTTAAGCCCAGGCTGGATGTTGCTGCTTCACTCCCGGCCCAATCAAGAACACAGGACAGAGCTCGCTCTTCTTTTTTCATGGATGCGCTGTGGCTGTATGGCGCACTAAAAATATGCGGGCGGCACGCAATAATGGAAAATGTGGTGCCGAGGCAACGGAGCCATGCAACGTATCGCATCGCATGCGGCTCTGATGGCGACCCGCGGATACATATATTTCACTACACATGGAGGAGAGAGACACGACCTTCGCAAGACAAGCCTCGAATGCACGTCATGCGCACGCATGTCTGTACCTATGTGGGCGCACGCGTTCACGCACATCTATCTCTCTCGCGCGCAAGAAAACGAGGTGCCCGCATCCATTCACATGCCCTTGAATATAACAAGCGTGCAATCACGCCATGAACAAAAGGCCAAGCGGCATCGCCTCACACGACACATGACAACTTATCGGGCAACCGCCAGGCTACCCTGGCGCCTTTTCGAGCGCCCATTGTGGGAGAACGCACGGACGGGGACCCGCAGCGTTCACTGGGACGGACAGGCCGAGGCGAAAGAAGAGCGAAGGAACGCACAGCCACGAAGACGACGAGCAGTACAATTCGTGAACGAGAAGCGTCCCGACTTCTCGCTGACTTCATATACCCACAAAATCGGAGGAGGGTCGGTTGAGACAACGCCCCCCCCCCCCCGCCCAGCCCAAATCCACTCAAAATCTGTCTCTCGGGGTCCATTCTGACCCGTTGTTCGAGGCGGATCCAGCCGTGGCGACGAGAAGCCTCCAGGAACGGAAAACGCCAGGCATTGCCTCGACTGGCCCGCCTCCGACAAAACGCCCCCACTGCTCCTGCTCTTATCGCTCTTTCTCGGCGCTCTTCTCGGCGAGGGCCTGCGGACGCGCCAAGGGGCATCTCTCGCTCTTCGGCGTCGGCCCGAGGCACGCGTGGCGGAAGAGAGCGCGCCTCTGTGACCCTCTCCTGCTTCATTCTTGGGCGCCAGCTCCGAAACGGCCCGGCGCGGCGCTGCAGAACGAGCAACCTTTACCCGATCTGAATCATTACTGGCATTCGAAGAACAACACAACTGCCTAAACTTTCGGAGCTCCGCGCGAACCTAAAGTTTATGTGTATGCAGCTCTTCAGATTCGAAGCGCACTGGTGAATTTCATTTGAGTGAGTAGCTGCTTTCTCTCGTCTCCTCCAGGGCTGAACCTAAACAGTATTGTTTGTTCTCATGTAGTTCTCGTGTCACACAAAATTTGAGCGAAAACGCTGGCCGGCGTCGCGCGGGCCGTTCTGTAACAAAACAGCGGGTGAACAAAACAGCGGCCCCCGAGCAGCCGAAACAAAACGCATAACAGAACGGCGGCACGGCCGCGGGCCGCCAACAAAACGAAGAACAAAACCAGCAAGCACCCAGTCTCCTGAAGAGGAGGGGAGAGGAGGAGGAGGAGGAGGAGACTCTCCTCCTCCTCCTCCCTCCTCTTCCTCCTCCTGTCCTGCCCGCGAAGCCACCGCCAACCCAGCACGCCTCTTTTGCTAGCATTCTGGCGGCTCACAGTTTCACTCTGCTCGCGCGCCATCCAGACGCAAGGCATCTGAACTGAACTCAACTATCCCCACTGGCGTGGCCTTCGTGGCCGACTTATCCACAGTAGGTAAGGGTAAGGATGCATGATCCAGGCCTTCGCCCCCCCAAGCCCTGATGGGATTGCCCCCCCCATCCTCGCTGGATGGGTACGCCAGTGCGCCTCGCGAAAGCATCGCGAATGGGACCGGTCAAAGCCACCCGTGTAGCCGTGGCCCTGTGGGAAAGGCGTGGTCGTGGGTGACGGTGCCCCTCTCCGTCCTCCTGTTGGTGTGGGGTGGTTCGTCGTCGTTGTCGTCGTCGTCCCAGCCACCGCCGCCGCCGCAACCGCCGCTGTCGTCGTCGTCGTCGTCGTCGGCGTCGGCGTCGGCATCGGCTGCGTCGACGTCGTGGTCTTGGTCGTGGAAGAGGTGATCGTGATCGTGACCGTGTACGTCGTCGTCGTCCGTTGTCGTGATCGTGGTCGTCGCCGTCCGTCGTGGTCGTTCGTCGTCCGTCGTCCGTTGTCGTCGTCGACGTCGTCGTCGTCGCGGTCGTCGTCGGCGCCGTCGTCGTCCGTCGTCGTCGTCCGTCAATGTCCGTCGTCGGTGTCGTCGTCGTCCGTCGTCGGCATTCGTCGCCCGTCGTTGTCGTCTTCGTCGTCGTCCGTCGTCGTCGTCGTCGTCGTCCGTCGTCGCCGTCGTGGTCGTCGTCGTCGTCATCCTCATCATCGGCGTCGGCATCTGCACCGGCGTCGGCATCGGCTGCGTCGTCGTCGTCGTCGTCGTCCGTCATCCATCGGTTTCGTCGTCGTCGTCGGAGTCGGAGTCGGCGTCGGGGTCTGCGTCCGTCGTCGTCGCTGTCGTCGTCGTCGTCCTCGGTCGCCGTCACTGTCGTCGTGTTCGTCGTCCGTTGTCGCCGTCGACGTCGTCCATCGTTTGTCGTCGTCGTCGTCGTCCGTCGTCTGTCATCCGTCGACCGTCGTCGTCGTCGTCGTCGTCCTCGTTGTCGTCGTCGTCCGTCGTTCGTCGTCCGTCGTCATTGTGGTCGTCGTGATCGTGGTCGTGGTCGCGGCCAAGGTCGTGGTCGTCGTAATCGTGGTCGTGGTCGTCGTCGTCTTCCGTTCGTCGTCCGTGGTCGTCGTCCGTCGTCGTCCGTCGTCGTACGTCCTCGTCGTCCGTCGTCGTCGTCGTCGTCGTTGTCGTCGTCCACGTCCGTCGTCCGTCGTCGTCGCCAGTCGTCCATCATCCGTCGTCCGTCGTCGTCCGTCTTCGTCGTCGTCATCATCATCGTCGTCCGTCGGTAGCGGAGGAGGTAGCGGAGCCTTAGGCGAGCATGCTGCAGGGGCGGGACGCAACGCCAACCACTGCACGACGTTACTGCCAATGCTCACGTGGCCCGCTCTGGAGACAACGAATCCCCTTCACACAAAAAACATGTGCTTAGAACGCAATGCCTGCCTCCGCTGGCTTACGGCAGCTTTCCGCTTGCAACCGCCGAAGGAGCCGCCCTCGCTTTGCTTCCGCCAACTTCCGCCGGCCTTCCGTAAGCTTCTGCCGCGGGAGAGATACCTTTTCTTATCCTCTTCAAAGTCGAGGCCCCCCGTGTGGAGCGCCTGATGTGTATCCTGACCTTGCCTGGGCCGGCCACGTCATTTCTACCCAGCCTTCCTAGCCCGAGAACTCGGACATTCAGCAGGCGACGCTTGCATGGAAGACTGGCTGATCCCTCCTCTCCTTCCCAGGGCCTCTAAGCTCCCTGCGATTTTGGGAGAAATTCAGGCCCTCGCCGAACCATCAGCACTTCTCAGCACATCTTACCTCCTGCTCGGGATCTACAAAATGAGGGGCCTCGCCAAATAGAACGATCATGGTGCTTTCTTTGCACACCGCCCGCGCCCGAAAAAACACTGGCAAAAACCCACGTGAACGCTGTATGCCCGCACGCGTGCGCCCACAAAGTCAAATTCGCAACGCGCATGCACCAACAAGCACTCGCCAAGGCAAGCGCAAACACGAAACACAAGTGCAGACGCAAGGCAGACGAACATGTAAACTCAAGCGTAATATACACACAAGGGCTCACGCGGACGCACGCAGAATCAACGTCTACGACTGACAGACCACCGCGTGTATGTTTGTTGGGCGTTGTTATATTGTATATGTTTCTTTTTGATAACAAAAAACGCAGCGCCACCCTCAACCCGATGAGCCATGCTTGGAGACCCTCGACGAATCACTTACAGCGCACACCAGGATAGGCTGGTACAACGCTGGAGTCCAGGAGAGGAGGAGCAGGAGGGGGAGGGGCAGGAGGAGGAGGAGGAGGATAACGAGGAGGAGGACAGATAACATAGGATCGCGCGCACGCATGCGTACACTTGCGCACACATGCAGCGCATTCAATATCGCCCAATAGCGCGCGAAGCGGGCGCAGCGCGGCTCCCTCGCATGGTGCTAAAAGGCGCTATTTGGGCGCCACTGAGCGCTTTGTGGGTGCGGCGCGAGGGCTACTGGGCGCCATACACCCCATGCAAGACGAGCGGAAACTTCCGCAACTTACTAACACGCGGGGATCGATTGATCCTCCTCGTCCTCCTCCTCGTCCTCCTCGTCCTCCTCCTCCTCCTCGTCCTCCTCCTCCTCGTCCTCCTCCTCCTCTGAGTGGCAGCGCTGGGGGGGGGCACGGGCTCTGGGGGGGAGCATCGAGCTGGAACAGGCACAGAAGAGGCGCGCCGCCCGGCCTGTGCGTCCGCCCGTCGGGCCGCCGTGAACGCGAACACACCCGAGGTCAGCATCGCCAGCCCCGCGGCGTTGGAGGCCCCGAACGGGTCGCCTCTCCCCGCGCGGCGCGGTGGCAGGAGATGGCGGGAGGCAGACCTGGATCTCCATCTCTGCAAGTGCCTGCTGCCGTTTTGCTGGCTGCTGCCTGCTTTCCCTCCTCGATCCGGGCGTGGCTCCTCGCCTTCCCGGGCCTCCCGGGGCCCCTTGCATCGGGCCACGGGGCCCTCGAGCGTGTCTCCGCGGCGAGGAGCCGGCCCGGGGCGGGGGCCGAGGAATCTCAGGGGGCGGCGCGCGCGCGAGAAAACACCTGATGCTGCCACGATCCCCGACCTCGAGATGCAGGTGGGGATGATCTGCAAGATGAGCATGGGGCAAGGAAGGATCTGCCTCCTGGGGGCCTGATTCGACGGCGGGGGAAGGGATCCGACGAAGAAATCTGCGTTGATCGTGTTGCTCCTGGGAGCTTTTTGCTGCATGTTGGAGGCTCGTGTGCTCTGGGGGGGACCCGTGGGGGTTCCAGTCGCCTCGCGGGATGTGCGTCTGGGACTCGCAGAATATGCGCGTTGCAAGGTTTCGCTGGATTTTCTGAGGCGCCCCTGGGAAGTTTTTCGGGTGCATTCCAGGGCATCTTGCGGGCGTCTGTGGGCGTTCCCAGGGCCTCTTCCAAGCTCCTGGGCCGTCTCTGGGTTCTCTCCCGCCGTCTGGCACCTTCGGAGGCTATGTTGGTGGTTCTGAATTGTTTTCGGGCCCTTGGGAAGCCTTTTGCGCCAATCATGGGGGTTTCGTCGGCCGTGTTTGGGCGGGCTAACAGAGCTATCGATGACTGCGCTTCTGTTGGGCCATCTTGGGGCCCTTTAACATCGCTTTGGGCGGTTACAACTCCTAGGAGGAGGAGGAGGAGGAGGAGGAGGAGGAGGAGGAGGAGGAGGAGAGGAGGAGGAGGAGAGGAGGAGGAGAGGAGGAGGAGGAGGAGGAGGACCGCTGAGCGCACGCGGGCAGGACCTGCGAGACTAAAAAGAGGGTACCCACGGGAGTGAACGCCAGCAGGGCGGCCCAGGGCGGCGCCGGTGTTGTCCGCTCCGCACCGGAGGCCTGTTCGGGACTTCGTGAGGAGGTGCAGGACACGGTGGGAGGAGAAGGACCGAGACAGCTCGGAAGCGAGACTATGGAGGAGGGTAGAAACACGAGGGGAGCTGGCAGAACTATGCGCAGAGGAGAAGGGCAGTGGAGTTCCCCTCAAGAAAGCGACGACGGCGACGGTGACTTCGGAGATGTCCTCTTTGGGGCTTCTTGGAGGTTTCTTCGTTGTGGGAGTCCCTCGGGGGGCGAAGAGGAAAGAGGAGGGAGGAAGGAGGGGGGACGGAGGGAGGAAGGCCGTTGGGAGGAGGCTGGCGGTAAGGACGGCGACGAAGACCTCGAACCGCCGGCGGAAACGGCGCGCGAACGCACTATGTTGGTTCTCGCGTTGTCTGTTGGACGCTGGGCTGTGACGCTTTGTCGTGGCGTCTCCAGCCATCCTGGGGCCCTCGTGGGTAATCTTGGGGTTCTCTTGGGGGCCTCTTGGGGCCTCTTGGGGGCCTCCTGGGGGCCTCCTGGGGCTTCCTCGGGGCCTTAGGCGTGGCGACATATCACGACGTCGGACGTCTGGGACCCAGGCCTCTGGTGAATCGGACTCCTCAGCCCCATCGGCCTTTTCCTTGTGCCTCCCCGAGCCCTCCTCGGGCCCCAGGGCTTCCAAAGACGGATCCAGGAAAGAAGACATGCCCCCCAGGGAAGGGGTCCTGACCTCTGGAGCCCGTGGATGGGAGCGACGAGACGGGACAAAACGGCACGGAACGCCCGTGCGGGCACGAGCCCGGGCCCTTTCAGGGCGAGGCGGGCGAGGCCATGGCCTCGCATGAGGAACGGCGCGCGCCGGGCGCCTACGCAGGGAAACGCGTACTTCACGAAATTGCTTTCCAACTGTTCCCGCTCCTTTGTTGTAGCCAGTTGCAGCCACGCGGTGTCGTTGAGGTCGTTCTGCCTTCGCGGCGTTTGGCGTCGGCTGTCTGCGGCGTGAGAATGGCGGAGAAACCTGCGGATATCATCGTCCAACCGCTTCCACTGTCCTCCATGTTGACGCTGTCCAGTCTAGGAGTCGCGACGTCTCGGGTGCCAACGAAGAACACGCTTTGGCCATTCATGCGGCAGTTGCTTCGCAACGTGGGCTGCGCATCTCCATGCCATCTTCCTTCGCGTTGCCACCCAATCGCGTAGTTTTTGCTTGTGTATGAGGACCTCTGCTTGTCGATTCGCTCGTTTGATGTATCCAACCCATGGCTCAAAACCGTCACCCCCTGGCTGGCTGTCCTTGATGTCGTCGATGTTGTCGTGCTCAAGTGGGCGGTCGGCGGGTTGCTGTCTATATCTTCTCCGTCGGTGCTGGCTGTGCCAGATGCCAGAGCTGGTGTCGAAGGTGGCTCTTGCGGGCCAGTCGCTCTGGGCGTTGGTGGAACGTCGGCGCTTCTTCGTCGAGGGGTGGCGATAACCATGCTTTACATGCGCCGTTGTGTGCTCTGTAGCTGTTATCGCAGAGGCGCAGCCAATGTTCAAATACCTGCACCATTGAGAACTGTCGGCGTGACCGTGCCGTCAAAAAGCCGGAGTCGTCATGTCAGCGGATAATGCTTTCCTGTGAGCTCTTGTCTGTGAGTTGTAAGAGTTGTCAACCCTGCCTTCAGCTTTTCTTCACCTCTGTGAATATTGCGCGTCGTTGCCACGTCAGCTGGCTGCGGCTCGAATGCCCTCAGCCGCGCAGCCAGCCAAACCGACAAACCGCATGAGGCATCCCAGCAATCTGGCCCCCCTTGAGGTGCTAAAGCCAGCGCCTCGCCTGAGACATCCGCACAATCTGGCCGCGAACGGGGGAGAGCCCTACCCCTTGGCGGCTCCCCCTTGGGTTGTCAACATACTACGCCTGCAATACCGCGGTGAACAATTGTCCACCAAAAACAAAAAAGTCAGGGGGCCGAAACAAGCAAACTGCTTGAGACATCCGCGCGATCTGGCAGCGAACGGGGGAGTGTCCTACCCCCTTGCGGCTCCCCCTTGGGATGCCCAACTGCAACGTCTGCTATATTGCGGTGAGGATTGGACCACCAAAAGAACACGTCTGGGGCCGAAACAAGCCATCGCTTGAGACATCCGCGCAATCTGGCCGCGAACGGGGGAGCGCAATACCCCTTAGCGGCTCGCCATTGGGGTGCCCAACTGCAATGCCTGCTATATCGCGGTGGTGGGGTGTCGAAACAAGCAATCGCCTGAGACACCCCCACAATATGACCGCGAATGGGGGAGTGCCATACCCCTTGGCGGCTCCCCAATGTGGTGCCCAAACGCTACGACTGCAATATTGCAGTGAACATGGGGGCACCAACTTAGCCTGAAGAAACACCCAACCATATGCAGTTGCGAATACTGCATTGTGGGTACCCGTTTCGGTGGAGCTCCTTATGGGGCCACGAAGCGCTGTCCTGGGTGGCGTTGGCGCATGCGGCCTGTGCCACTGGAGCCTTCGGTGGAGCTCCCTATGGGGCCACGGAACGCTGTCCTGGGCGGCGTTGACGCATGCGGCCTGTGCCACTGGAGCCTTCGGTGGAGCTCCCTATGTGGCCACGAAGCGCTGTCCTGGGTGGCGTTGACGCATGCGGCCTGTGCAACGGGAACCTTTGGTGGAGCACCCTATGGGGCCACGAAGCGCTGTCCTGGGTGGCGTTGGCGCATGCGGCCTGTGCCACTGGAGCCTTCGGTGGAGCACCCTATGGGGCCACGAAGCGCTGTCCTGGGTGGCGTTGGCGCATGCGGCCTGTGCCACTGGAGCCTTTGGTGGAGCACCCAATAGGGCCGCGAACGCTGTCCTGGGTGGCGTTGACGCATGCGGCCTGTGCCACTGGAGCCTTCGGTAGAGCACCCTATGGTGCCACGGAACGCTGTCCTGGGCGGCGTTGACGCATGCGGCCTGTGCCACTGGAGCCTTCGGTGGAGCTCCCTATGGGGCCACGAAGCGCTGCCCTGGGTGGCGTTGACGCATGCGGCCTGTGCAACGGGAACCTTCGGTGGAGCTCCCTATGGGGCCACGAAGCGCCTTTCCTGGGTGGCGTTGACGCATGCGGCCTGTGCCACTGGAGCCTTCGGTGGAGCTCCCTTGAGGCCACGAAGCGCTATACCTGGTGGGTGAAACGCAGGGAGATGACGAGGCGGATCGGAGGAGGAAGGAGGGTGAGGAGGAGGAGGAGGAGGAGAGGAGAGAAAAGGAGGAGGAGACGCGGGGCGCTGTCTCTTCAAAACGAGGACCCAACACCATAGGATGGTCGGGAAAAAGAAAAGTCTGGGGGGCGAAACAAGCAATCGCTTGAGACATCCCCCCACACTCTGGCCGCGAACAGGGGAGTGTCCTACCCCTTGGCGGCTCCCCCTCGGGGTGCTGGAACCAGCGCTTTGCCTGAGACATCCTCACAATCTGCGAGTCTGAATGCGAGAGAGTCTACGTGAGTGGGTCTGTGCGAGTGCGTCGTAGTGTGAGTGTTTCCGAGCATGAGTGGACCCGAGTGTGAGCGAGTCTGAGCGTGAGTGAATATGAGTGGCAGTGAGTCTGTGTATGAGCAGATCTGAGTACGAGTGAGTCCGCGTGTGAGTGAGTCTGACTACGAGAGAATCTTAGTGTGAGTGAGTCTGTGTATGAGCAAACTGAGTGTGATGATACTGAGAACACGAGGGTGAGTGTGAAGCGGAAGCGCCCCAGGAGTAGGTATGACCACGTCTTAGGATGTGGAGAAATGAATTCGCCAGAGGTCTGAGCCCCATGCCAAAGCATCCGACGGCCTGATTTTTCCAATGCGCGGCCCAAGAGGTCCCGGCCCCTTCCTGGGCCAATGTCGCGCCACATCCATGATTGATGGGCACCAGAGGCCCAAATCGCTGCAAAAGTGCCGGCCGCAAAGGTCATACCGCCAGAGATCTGAGTCCCCCCCCCCGCCCACGCCCTCCGAAGTAGACGGCGCAGACCAGGATGAGCAGGGCCTGCCCAGAGCGCGCCAGGTGGCCGGGGCGACGAGACAGGAGGGGGCCCGCGCAGAGTCACGGCCTCGGCGCTGATCGAGGAGGGTCGGTGCTTATCGAGGGAGTGCGATCGAGCTTGTGTCATAACCCTGAGACCTGGGCCCTGCAATCTGTTCTCACCAAGCGCTCTCGCCTGGAATCGGGTCCTGGGACCATCACATCTCGATCTTCAGAAAGCTAGGGTCAAGTGAGCTGGACGTGATGTTTCACGATGTTTTGCATTTTTTCGCGACGTCGGATCTCAGGGAAGGAGCCTTGGACAAGCAGCGAGGCCCACCTGGGGCCTCAGCTGCGCCCAGATGCGAGAAGAGCGCCGCAAAGACAACGAATGGAAGCACCCGGAAGACCCTGCGCCCCTCCCGAGGCCGAGGTGGGAGTTACCGCAAGGCTATTTCTGAGCTGCGGAAAAGGCCATTACGGACAGCATGAGAGATCTCGCTAGAATGGATCTGGGGGCAAATACTTCGACGACCCCTTGAACTTCGCAACCCTGGGGTCCCAGCGCTCTTTTGGATTCGGAAACTATCGCGGTGCACCAACTTGCAGGCCAGTTTCTTGCTCGATGTACGTACGGTGGTAAGGACGCCGAAGGGGGTTCGGAATGGAAGAGGACGAGTCGAGGATCAAGGCCTTGAGCGGTTTCCTTGCGTTTTCGGGCCTCAAGGATCCCCAGGAGACCTTATGAGACCCTGGAAAAGGGGGAACCCGATGAAAAGGACATGGGTGCAAGACCCTTGGACGTCCACACAGCAACCACTCTTAGCGGAGGCATGGCAGCAACTCTGGAATATTTGGCCGCGACTGGGCCGAAGAGGGAAGAATGCAAGGGCAGTCTTGAGGCCAAAGCCCTGCAGCCTTCCTAGAGACTTTGCCTGCACTGGGCCACAAGGGATGGCAAGCCAGACCAGCCTGCGGCTGCGAATGCGACCTGCATGGGGCGCAGCGCGACTACAAAACATGACAAGGGCTCGATTTGGCAATCTTGAATTTGACAAAATCGTCCTGAAACTCGGCCCGAGTGCAAGCCGACCGTACCTCCTGGGGGGCACCAGCCCTTGCCGCCACGGCTGGACTCGCCGCGCCGTCCTGAACAGAACGAGTCCTGGGACGAGCGAGGGGGGCCAATTTTGAGGGGGGGGCGGCGCAAGGTTTCCGACCAGCCGGAGAGAAGCGATGAAGGACGTAGGTCAGCCACCTTTTGGCCCCCCTCTGGCCAAGCAACATACCAGCCCCGCCCTCTTCCGATGGCTACTGCTACCGCATCCGCGGCAGAAGAAAAGCCGTGAGGGCTCAGGGCGAAGAGAGAACCCGGCAAGTGGCACGCGAGCCCTGGCTCTCTACACGAGGGAGCGGCGAGGGACAGGAGGAGCAGAGTGGGGCAAGGGGAGCCTCTCGGGGCCATCCTGGGGCCTTCTGGGCGCCGTGAGGCTGTGGGCCTGGTGGCCGTGGAGGAAGGCACGGGGGGAGGGCGAACGGACGGCGACGAGGGCCGCAATCAAGCGGCACGCGTGCCCCGGCTCTCGCGCGCGGGGGCGGCGGGGGACGGGAGGCGGGCGCAAATGGGAAGGTTAGGGGCAAAGGGGGGGAGAGAGGCCACGGCCAGACGGGGAGGGGTGGCAGGGGGAGGGCGGACGCACGAAGGCGAGCGACGAGCGACATAAAAGGGCTCGGGGGGCAAGGACGGGCCACGGCCAGAGGGGGGGAGGGGCAGGTGGGAGGGACCCTGGACCATGGGGGAGGTAGGCAGCGGCCCCAGGGGGGCGGTGGGGGCGGGGGTGGCAAGGGGGAGGGGGCCTTCCTGGGCGACCAGGGGAGACAGAGTCACGGCCAGAAGGGGGGGTGGGGGCAGACAAGAGGGTGGGAGGGTGGAAAGCTGCAAGGACAGAGGACTCTCACAGGGAGGCAGGGGCAGACAAGAGGGGGGGAGGGTGGAAAGCTGGAAGGACAGAGGACTCCCACGGTGGTCCCCGAGAGGCCCCGGACTAACCAGTCCAGGCCCTCCCTACTCTGGTAAGCTTCGGACAGGGCTGGGATGGGCTGCACCTCCTGAAGGTACAACACTGTCGGTGATTGTGCGCGCCCGCCTCAAGTTTCCCGATGCACTGGCGAGGTCGGCAAGTACAGACTCGTAGGTGAACAAAGAGCAGAGAGGGTCCGAGGCCGAGCCGACAGCCAACCAGCCGTGCCTCCTTCTCTTCCCTCATCCCCGTCCTCCTCCATTACATGCCATCCATAACTCCGCCTCCTCCTCCTACTCCTCCGCGGTCCTCCTTCCTTCACGAGCAGGCGAGCAGGCCGCATGTTCTGTTCAATGGTATGCCGACACGCGTGCTGGCAGACAGACAGTGCATACAGTCCTGGCCTTGGACAAGAGAACCTTGACTAAGACAATGTCGCCCCTGGGTTGACACTGTGGGAGGATAGTTGCCAACCGTACGCCTGCACCAATCCTGACCAAGCCCAAAAACGGACCCTCCTGGGCCTGGACACGACCCATGGCCCAAGACAGGACTGGCAAGCATCGGTACAGGTGCACAGGTGGCGCTCACCGACGTTTGCCTTACTCGCGGGCTGAAGAACTGCATGTCCCACTCTGGAAACCCTGAGCCCAAAACATGGACGTCTCACCTGTACTTCCGCCGCCATCCGCAAACCGCCCGCCGAGGGCGAGACGCGCCGAAGGCGAGGCCCTTTTCTGGAGCGACCTCTTAGTCGCATTAATAGTGTTGTTGTTACGTTGTGGCTACTAATGTTATTAGTATTTGTAATGGGGCAATTAATGTTGAGACGATTATTAAAACATGGCATGAGTCACCGTATCATTATTTGTAATAGTGTCATGAATATGCTGCGTATTACTCTTATCTGTACTCGTATAGCTGATATTAGACCTGATGATAGATACACATGTATACACGAGCGTTAGCCAGCATGGACCCCACACAGTAATGTAGTGCACTGTGGCCAGGCAAGAGGGAGCCGTGGTGCGCGACCTCTGGTGGGCGCGAGGGGGTCAAAACTAAGCGCGCAGGCCGCCGCTATCGCATCTGATTCAGCGATCGGGGGGCCCCAGTGGGCCCGCACCAAAGGTCACTCCGGCGAAGGGTCACTCTTACGTATAGTCGAGCTCAGCATCTGGGTGCTGGCGGAAAGTTCGGCGGGCCCTAGATTATCTAGGGGATGCTAGGATCGGCGTGTTTCTGGCCTTCTGCTCGTCAGCGGCAACTTGGGTCCAAGGTCGAGAGGGCCGAAGGACGCAACGGAGTCGAATTGGGCACAAGGGGGAAAACGAAAGGGGCGCGGCGGGGGGAGGAAGACGTGGGTGGTGAAATGCTTCGGACACCCGCTAACATAAGGATTAGGGATCCGTGGGTCTGGGAAGGTACCCCCGAAACGGGAAGCCACTGCCGCATCCCTTGGCGACGGATCACGTCGATGTTACATGGAAGCGGGGCCCGTCGCTAATCCACGCGCCTCAATCCATTGTTGCGCTTCCGCGTGTTGGGCCCAGGAACGATCGGGTTCCCCGCCAACGCCATCCCCCACCGACCACCCCTCCCGAAGAGTTCCCCAACGATCGGGTTCCCCACCGACGCGCACGTGTGAGGCTGAAGAGACTGTCGACTGGCAGAGACTGGCAGGAGCCGACACGACAGTTCCACCCTCTTGTCCAAGACCGTGGGTGACAGACTGGGATGATTGAGCGTGCTGTCCCAAGGGTTCCGAAAGCGGAGCACATGAGGCGGAGGAGGAGGAGGAGGCAGTGGAGGAGGACGAAGGATGAGGAGGATGAGAGGGAGGAGGAGCGAGGGGAGGGGAGGGAGGGAAAGAGGGGGAGCAGTGAGGAGAAGGGAGGGGAGGGTAAGGGAGGGGGGATGACCAGAAGTGGAGGGGAGGGGAGGGGACGGGAGGGGAGGTGGGCTGGAGGAGGAGGAGGAACAGGGGTGCCAGAGGAAGACCAGGATGCAGCAACGATGCAGCAATGCAAACTCCCGTCCCAAGCCCCCTCCCCATTAGTCTCTACACACTTTCCATTCGACTACAGGAAGCGCCCCCTTGAAAAGCGAGCACCCAGCTGGTCTGCGATTCAGGCGGGGACATAGCTATGAAAAGGCAATCATCTTGCCTTCTTCTGGGGAGTGACGCGGCACGCGACAAGGTAGGACCGTACAGTCCAACGAGGTGTCCAGCGAGCGCCCCATTTCGAAAAGAACCCGCCACCCGCACGTGCACCTGTAACAAACCAAGACACGCCTGGTCCTCAAACCGGGACCAAATATCAACCGACAGCCCCAGTCTGAAAAGGAGACGCCCTCCATCAGTAGAGCTGTTACAAGTATTCAAGCTTCTAATCTGCATGTGCACTAGAATTTAAAAAATACCGAATGCATGCTTTTGAAACGAACAGCCCTTCGTCCTAGTACCTGCTGCATTGCTTTGAATAGGAATGCGCGCGTCGCTAAGACGAGAGCTCCATTGACAAGGAACAGGCCTGCACCCTCGTAGCTGCTGCAAGCTTTTAATACGAATGTGCGCGTCGCTAAGACCAGAGCCGCATCTGGAAAACGCACTGGCCTGCACCCTCGTAATTCGATGCTGTAAGCTCGTGCATCGAATGTGCGCAGCGATAGGACCGATAGGACCACAATTGCATTCTGAAAACGCACTGGCCTCCATGCTTGAAGTGAAGAAGCCCTCGCGCACGATTAAGACAAGACTGCGCGGTGCTAGGACGAGAGCAGTTTTTAGAAAACCACCCACCCTCCATCCTTGAAGCTGTTGCAAGCTTTTACGACGAATATGCGCGGCGCAAAAGGGATAACCACATTTTGAAAACGATCTGGCCTCAAGCCCTGAAACTGCTTCATACTTGAAAGTGGAACAGTAATAATAAGTCATAAACGACCAGCCTCCATCTTTGAAACTGCTGGAATGCTCAAGACGATTGCACACAGTGCCAA